TCTGGATTTAGAAAATAAGAGAAACAAATTGCAAGAACCATTGGGCTGATATTAATTTTTCAGGTCTCTTTGATATGTATATTAACATGTTCTATAAGTTCTACAGACTTACAAGAACCACACTGTATGGGAAATTCAGAGTATTTGATTGTGATTAATTATCTTATATGAACTAACTTGATCTCATATTCTGCATTGATGTGTAAATGTAAAGATGAGTTTTTTCATATTCCAATGCAGTCCTTAGTTCAAAACACACACAGAGAAATGCATTTGAAGCATTTTGAGGTGTGAGTGTGGAGGAATCTTTAGAAATACAGATTTTGAGAAAAAATACATTTTAAAAAGAAATAGGTAACTCCATATTCAAGTGCAAATTTTCATGTGGGCTTTAATCCTCCCCCCTCCCAGGATAATGGAGAAAAAATTAGAATGGGTGTATTAATGGTTACTGACAACGAACAGAATTGGATTAGAGTTGGATTTAAAACATGACTGTAAAAGGAGACACATCTGTTCATGTCAACATCTCCTGAAGCATCTCCTCTTTCTAATCATTTATGAAGCAGGTACAGCCATGTTGCACACAGTGCAATGGAAGGTTGAAAGGGTTGCCTCGTTATGAAATGACAAAGCATCAAAAATCACAATAAATCATTGCAAAGTAATGGTCCTTCAAAATGCATCTCCATAAATAAGCAAATGCTCATAAATCCATGTCTTCATTCTTTTAAAGAGGATGCCTTCTGAGACAAACTAAACTGAGCCCGAACAGAAAATTGTTTACAGGCATCCTCAACTTACGACCACAGCTGAGCACAATACTTCTGTTGTTAAGTGAAATATTTATTAAGGAATTTAATTTGCCCCATTTTACAACTTTTCTTGCCACAGTTGCTAAGTGAATCACTGCAGTTGTTAAGTTAGTGACATGGTTGTTAAGTGAATCCGGATTCCCCATTGAATTTGCTTGTCAGAAGGTCACAGAAGAATATCATGTGACCCCAGGACACCGCGACCATCATAAATATGAGTCAGTTCCCAAGCACCTGAATTTTGATCATGCGACCATGGGGAATGCTGCAACAGTCATAAGGGTAAAAAATGGTCATAAGTCACTTTTTTAGTACCTTTGTAATTGCAACAGTCACTAAATGAACAACCTGTATGCAGTTGTATATGTTGGCTAAAGCAAACAAAAAGGGAGAAACCAAAAGAGAAAGGATTTAGAAAACAGTCCCATCTTTGCCAACCTTGTTTAAAGAGTGAGTAAAGGGGAAAGTAGAGCTGAAGTAAGCAATCCCTGGAATATGTGTAGGTTATATTAGCAAAACCACATCTGCATAGTTTAGACAGTTTAGGGAAGTCTTATTAAATGAGATGTTTGCTTAGTATGAGATGCTTAGTAAGGAAAGGTAATCGATGAGGAAACTCTGGGTGTGATCATTGTGAGTTGTACACAAGATGAAAACACTTCTTTTATCAGTGTTTAAATCTTAGCCGTAGCAGCACAGCCCAGGGAACAAAAGAGGGCTGGGACAGATGCTCTGTTTTTTCTCCTCTTCCTAAATTAGTTAACAGGCAATAGATTGATGCTGCTGAACCTGATTTAGCTGCTATAATTACAGTAAGCTGCATCTTACCCAAAAATTCTAATTGCAACATTTCAGGAAGGAACAAATCTGATTGGGGGAAAAAAATTCTGACGTTAGCCTTTTGATTTTGGAGGATGGACTGGACCAAACCACATGAATATGTAACAAATAAGAAGGAATGGTTGTGTACATTTCAGTTTTCTTGCTTCTACAAATTTTCCTACTGCATATTGGATTCATGTTCTTTTCTCCTCAGTTTGCGATATAAAATAAAACCATGCACAAGCACACATACCCACACACACACACTCCCATTTAAATAAAAATATACTGATTTAGTACAACTGTCTAACCCCAACCCCATGCATTTAACTACTATCATATTAATTTTTAAGCATTCAAAGAGAGTCTACTCATAGTCATTCACCACTAAAGTCTTTAAATCATGGTACATTCAAATACATCTTTTGAAATATGTACAAACATTCAGATGTATGAAATAACTTTCAATTATGTCAATTTATTGGAGTACAATGTAATTGCCTTTTATACTGCTGTATAGTGAGCATACTAAAGAAAGATCTGAAAAACTACTAGGTGCTCTATATCTGGTAGTCATCCAGATTTTTTGCAACCCAAATATGTTAATTATGGTAATATGCATGTCCACTTGGACAACCTCCTCTACAGAATGGAGAGATGAACTATGACAAAGATCTTGGTCTGAACTGGTACCTCATAATGAAAGATTAAATAAAACAGAAGTATCTGTTAAACTTGTTGATTTGGACAGCAACATTATCTGCATGAAAACAACAATAATGTGGTAAAGCGAAATATAATAAGCTATAGAATAAAATGTGTCAAAAGATGGTCAGTGAATTAAAGATGGCAAGCACTGGTGCACCTCAGACTTCCCACCCCCTTCCCCACCTCTATGTTCAACACCAGTCGGCTAAGTTATAAAAATGGTTCAATAATACCAGGTAAATATTTAAAAATTCAGCTAAATACTGAATTAATGAATGATACAAGTGGAAATTTAAATAGAATATGGTGCCAGCTGTGCACAGGTTCTCAATGCGGGTTCCCGTGCTGTGCTAAGGGTAAAAAAACCACCCAAAGGAACAATGTAAATAAGAAATATTACAAAGATATCTAAGGAAGGAATTTAATTAGTCTGGAAAGCCATTTATGTTTAGCCACTTAGTATTCAATGTCTTCTATTGAAAGACATTCTTTTTTTTTTTTTATTGAAATTTTTTAAAAGTTTTACAATATAATT